CGCGCTTTATTGTCATCGCTTGCCTTCTTGTACCTCTCGAGACGAAATGCTTTCTTCCGAGGCGTGATCTCCATATCGGAGAACAAGCCTCGGTGAATCAGTCCGAGCGTTTCAGGTTAGATGAACGAGCCGCAAGGCCTCGTCGCCGGCTTGTCGGCCAGGGGGGGGACGGAGGAAGAAGGGCCAGCGACAGGAGAAGAAGAGACCAGGACAGAGCGTGTGTCCGGGGAGGCCAAGAAAAGGAGATGGTGGGGGCAGGTGTATTGGGTGTCAAAGGGGCTCGGAGGGGGCACAAGCTCACTCCTGTTTGAAGTGCGGCACCAAGGGGGGAGGCGGGTGCGGGCTGGAGGGGGTGTCCCCAGGGGAAAGGGGATCCGCGTCGCCGGGCAGCGCCGGGGGCGTTGGCCCCGGGCGGAAGTACTGTTGGCTATTGCCGGCGCTCGTGGGGAGATGCCCGCCACCAGGGGAGCGGGGCTGCGACCCGGGCGTGGAAGCAGGGCCAGACGCGGCGGGGCTACTGCCGGGCGGTGCCGGTTGCGGCGGCGGCACCGACGAGGGGTGTCCCTGCGACCGGGGGACGTCCGGCGAGGATGGGGTCCGGGAATCAGGACCTGCCGGTGTGGAGGCGCATCGCGGAGGTCAGAAGAGGGGCCCTTCACGCTGGCTCCTTCGAGCCGCGTCGCATCAAGGTGGGGGATCGTACCGATGGATTGTGAGGAGGCGGAGGAGGCGGAGGAGGCGGAGGAGGCTGAAGAGGTGGCCCCGGGGGAGCTCGACGAGTGGCGGGAGTGTGGGGACGAAGCCGGGAGGGATGGCACTGGCGCCTGGATATCCCGCGCATCCCCACCAGCATCCGGGGCTGGGCGCATCGCTTGCATGTGCAGATCGTCTTCATCGAAATCCGCGAAAATGTTGCCACTGGAAGTCCCGGAGGCCGGTCGGTTGGCGAGCAGAGGCCCGGCATGATGCGGCTCGGGGTTGGCCGACATCAGGGAGGGCGCCGGGGCATGATGTGAAGGCGAGGCAGAGGACTGGTGGTGCGGCGGTTGCTGCTGCTGCTGCTGCTGCTGCTGTTGCAAGTGGGGACCCGTTCTAGTGGCCTGCGCGTGGTGGGGAGATGGCGCGAGAGCGTGAGAATGTGGGCCCTGGGGCGGGTGCTGCCAGGGTTGCTGCTGCTGCTGCTGCTGCTGTGGCAGAGACACCGGGGTCGGCACCGGGGTCTGGTGGTGGGTCAGGGGCGAGGCACCAGGGCCCCCATGCGGGCGAAAGCGCTTGGCCGAGGAGACATTCTCCTCGGCGCTCCCCTGCCGGTCCTCCGGGGCCGGGCCGTCAGCATGCGGGGAAAACGCACCGGCCGGGCCGCGGTATGCCTGCTGCTGCTGTTGCTGCTGGTGCTGCTGCTGCTGCGGCAAGTGTTGATGCTGGTGGGGCAGAGGCATGGCGCCACCAGCCTGGGAGGACACATGCCCCGGACGCTGCAGGGTGCCAGCCAGTGCAGGGGGTCGCTGCTGGGGGTGATGTTGATGATGATGATGATGTTGTTGCTGCTGCTGCTGTTGGGGAGACGCCCCGGTGATGGGGCTCTGGCCGGGGGTGATGACCGGCTTGCGCTCGGCCGGACCGGCGGCCCAGCCGGGCATGGCCAGACCGGACCCCTGGTGCCGAGGGGTGGTATCGGCCGCGCCGTTGGCGGCCATCGAGTCCTCGTCGAAGTCCTCGCCGTCGGGCTCAAACTTGACCCCAGGCATGAAGCGCTGCGGCCCGCCATCACCCTCGCGACGATAATTGCTCGGGCTGATTTGCCGGCCACTGGCGCCGGTGGCCCGGTCGCGCTTGACGGCCGTCAGGAAAATCTTGTCGTACAGGCTGTTGCCGAGACTGTTGCCGAACATGCGCAGGGCACGCTTGATCCCATCGGTGATGGCCTCCTTTTTGCACTTCTCCAGGATGGCGCCGCGTCCGCGAATGTTGTCCGCTGACCCGTACCCGACATCCTCATGGAAGCAGCCATTCTTCAGCGTCACCCGGATGAGGGCCGACACGCCGCAAGAGAAGCGCCCTTCGCCAATTTCCTGGAGCTACTTTCTCCCCGCCAGGGGGGAGCCATGTTAGACAGCGAGGAGACGATGGGGAGGAGGCAGGCAAAAGGGGGGTCGGCGGGGAGGGGGCATGTTTTCCGAGAGAGAGAGAGAGAGAGAGAGGAGGGGGGCGTACAAAGTCGACGCTGATGTTTTTCACGGCCGAGGACCAGCCACCAAAACCGAACGTCTCGTTGGAGAGTTCGATCGCGCGCCAGCCCTCAATGTATGGGACCTCGTCTGTGCCGATGGCAGCCGCGAGGATGTGTGTGTGTGTGTGGCCCGTAGGTGGTTGCGCAGTTGGGACAAGGAAAGCGACAGTCAGCAAATGGCCCCAGCTCCACCAGGGGAAAGAGAGGGAAAGAGGGCCATGTGCACGCACCACGTCCACTCGGGCCCTTACGATAGGCAATATACTCGGGACCGAGCTGCTGCTGCAGGCATGTCTGGATGGCGGCCTGCTCTTCGGGGGTGAACTCGCAGTTGATGCCCCAGACATTGGGCAGCATGTGCACCGGCACCGACGTATCATGCAGGCCGGAGTCCATCGGTATTATTGTGCGTACGGATGTACAGACCGGGAGCAAACGAGGGGAAGAACGGGATGGAAGGAGATCGGGAAGACGTGTTGGGACAAGTGTGTGCGTGTGTGTGTGCGTGTGTGTGTGCGTGTGGATGCAGGGAGAAGGGGTGAGGAAGGAGCGGGTGCATCGGGTTCCAGGTGGCCCTCACTTATATGCCTCTCGCGAGAGGAGGGCTCCGGGGGGATGTTCCGTCGTGCCCTTGTGTGCCTCCCTTGTCCTGGCACAGGGGGCCGCCGGCCTTCAGTCACTTTTGCAAGTGCACCCAGATCGGGGAGGGGCAGCACGATCGGCATCCAGGGCCAAGCGGGGGGGGGGGGAGGGCCCAATCCGCCGGGACATGTACCGCTTTCTGACTGGGCCAGATGGGAGAGCAAGCACGCCCCCCCC